GGGGGCGTGTTTTGGTTTTTGACTTGTTATTTTTCTCTGAAAGATTATGGTTTTTCTGTTCCTCTGTGGAAGAAATAGATGGTTTAACATCACAGTGTATAAATGGGTCTGAGGACATAACAGGAAGCTTTAGCTCTGCTATGAGATCACAGTCAATAAAGCTGAAAGCTTTGGTCTCTGAAGAGAAGTGTCTGACAGTTAATTGCTAAATAGGAAATCTCAGGAAAACAACTAACTGTTTAATTATTTCTGAGCCAGTGAAATGTTGACAGCTGTCAAGGAAAATAAAAGCAAGCAAAAAAATCTGCTGTTAGGCACTCTCAGAACAAAAGAAAAAATAAAAAATATTTACGGACAGAATTTTTAATTAAAGTCTCTACAGGTTTTTACAGATTTTTTGTTATTTTTTATGATTAAGCATAACATTTAATTTTTATGATATGGGGTATTGCATATATCTGTTTATAATTTAACAAAGATCAATGATAAATGCAGGAAATGGTAACATTGCATACTATCCACATAAAACACCATATTAAGGGAAAGGCTGCACTGAGAGGTGATCAAATATCAGGAAAGCTGGAGGTGCTCAAACAGTTGCTTATGATTATCACTCATTCTTTGATGTTGAACGTTATAAAGCTACATTTATAAATATTGCCACTTTTGCCTTAAATAATACGTTTCATGTATTTAATGACATTAGTCACACATGCAGTTACTGAGATATTGGTTAGAATTTTATGGTTAAAACCAAGTAGAGTTTTGTTGCTGAGGCAGTACTCAGTAGTTGTGCTCTGGGAGAAAAATAGAACAAAACCTTTTGAAAATGATAGTACTTTTACTACAGGGTGTATTTATTTAAAATGTAGAAGCAAATTCATTAATTAGCTTACAAGTTACAGCTCATGGAAAGGGAGGTCTCTTAAGAAAGGCAGGAATATGTTATCTCTTTTTTTGGCTCAGTTATACCCTCTAATTATTGAGAAATGTTACCATAGAATAAAGTTTAAAAGTTAGAAAACTTTTAAATTCCTTCTTGTTTAAATGACTTCAAAATTTCATCTAAGTCTTGGTGTTACAATGGTTGTGTCTGAGGTATATTACAACATCTCTGTATGTTTTGCATCATACCGTTAATGTGTTAACCTCTGCTTTTTGTTTGGAATCAGAGTGGATTAGTGTTTAGACTTAAACCAGAAACACCTTTTCTAACATTCAAAGCATTCATTTTGGGCACAGGAATTTTAAATACCCTCCAAGGCAGAACTAATTCTTCTGCAAATTTTAGTAATATTTCACAGTGTGTTTTTAAAATAAGTAGCTACAAATATTTGACCTTTCAGCCAAAAAGTGATATCCATCTTTGATCAACTGCATTCCAAAACTGCAAACTATATCAAGGAGGACTTCTTTATCTCTTTAGGTTTTCACTGCAGACAGATTGTGCCTCAGAACTTGTAAAAGCAGCCCTCTGAGCAGCCTTCAAAGCAATCATGTGGAGATGGGAAATGAGGAATTCTTTCTCCTCTTAAGAGAGTAAAACAAACCAGAAAAAATGTGTCAAATGATGAATGTGTGCTCTTTGAAAGAAACAAAGGCTAATCCTGAGGGGAGTCCTAAAAGAAATTAAGAGACAGTACCTAAGAATAAAAATTGAATTCAGTGTGAAGCCCATCTAAACAATAATGTTTTGTGCAGTTTTTTGTAAGCATAGTCTCAAGAACAGGTAGCTGACATTTTTAAAGTTTTCTGGACAGGATGTAAATCACATTCAACATTACAGGGGATGAGAGCCACTTGCAATATTAGCTTGAAGTTCTTCAGGCATCAGTGTTTTTCAGATCCAATATATAGAGTTGTAAGTGAATCTGTCCTTGAAAAGTAAAGATCGGGTATATGTTGTTTATCGATCAGCCCCAGATGTTCAAAAGCAAACTAAACACACTCAGTCTTTGTTAACTAAAGTAGATAAGGTATACAAACATAAAGCCATTATCTGCCTTTAAAAATGAATCTCTATCTCAGCAGCAATGCTGTACTGTCTTTCAGCATCATTCATATGGCAGTGGTTTGGTTGCTCTATTAGGAGTGAATAAATATTTCACGTAACAGTTTCAGCCCACATGGGTTTATTGCCTTGGTAATTACCTGCACAATTATTCAAACAAAGATAACTACTTAACCACATTAGGATAGTCTATTAGTCTGTCTGAAGTAGAAGTGACCTTGAACACAAGCTAAGTAGTGTTATGTGCCTGCAATGTATTTTTATGCAAGGAGAGCGCATGCTGTTTGGTTTTCAACAGGGCTACGCAAACAGCACAGACAATTCAGTGTCAGGAATCTATGAAAACAAACGTGTGAGACTTCAGAACATACATAGAAACATATAGTACAGAAGAGGTATGACTGAGTCACTTGTGATTGAAATAGTTTCTATACATCTCTTACAGATCTCACCATTAGTATTTGACTACTAAATATCAGATCAAGCTTTCAAAGGCAGGGGGCTTCCTGTACCCTGATTTTTGTCTGTATTTAAATTAAATCAGAAAACAGTGAATAAATTTCTAATATATTTTGCTTATATACTCATACAAGTTGTCTCCAGAACTTCACACAACATCTTCATGTTGTACTTTCCACATTTAACCTCTGTGTCAATTTTGATTTAATGCCTATTATTGTGAAGAATGAATAGTATTCATCCATCACACAGCAAGAGTATTTGGAAGTACTATTTTCACATACTGGAAGCCCTCTGTATATTCCCTGTTCTCTCCTCCAAGTCATGAAAAAAACAACATATACCAAGAAGAATTCTTCCAGGGAATGTATCGGCTGTCAAATAGGAATTAGATCTAAGAGATAAAAAAGAGCAAGTATACAGAAAGTTATGTTTTTTCTATTATGACGCTGTCTAGCAATAGGGGACTACGTGAATGCCTGCACTGCACCAGAACTACCACCAGGAAATTAGCAGTGGGAGTCAGGCTCTTCTCCTCCCCATTCTTCAAGTTTAAGCTCGGAACAGCTGAGGACCCTTCCTTAATTTTTATTGCAGTGTTTTTACTTCCACTGTTTTCAAGAACAAGTAAATTTCAAGAACCATGAAAGAAGCAAAAACGTTATCGTCATGCGAAATTGTTATCATTCTAACACAGCTGCTTTCCAAAAATCTTTACTTGTGCATTGTTTGTATCATTGAAACTCGGTAACTTGTGACCATCTTTGTAGCTCATCTTTGAACTTGTTCTGGTTCCAATCATAAAGAGGGTCTCGGTGTCCTTTGCTAGGTCTTTCCCTAATAATTCCTTTCTGTTCTTTATTAAGTCCTAAGCTGGCATCTTCCTGATATTTCTCTTCATAAATCCAAAATCTTCCTTCTGAACAGTAACAGTCAGCTCAAAAGTTACAATTTCGTATATTAAGTCAGAAATCCTTGGTATCACTTTTCATGTATTTGCACTGAATACTTCTGTAATTTAACTAATTTGTTACTCTGTTCTCTAAGGTTGTTCTGCATTTATTTAGTGTTTGTTCCCATCTTTGTTACTAGTAAACTACTAGTAGTTGAGCTATTTTCTTATGTACCCTTTGGTTGTCTTAAAATTATCTGGTGAATTCTGTTCAGTGCTGCCATTATACACATAAACACACATTGGTATTAGCATGCACACAAAAGTATTTTAAATAAATTCCTAGTATTAAAAAGTAAATATTCATGCCCAAGTATCACAGTTTTGAATTGATTTACCGGCCAAAAATTTACTGTCCCACTAGTGGGATCTGTCAAAGAATAAGTAACATTTTCTTCATGGAGTCTGTGGCAAAGATTGCTAATCTAGCATATTGCATTTGACTCTCCTTGTGCTAAATGTGTTTTTATATTGAAGTGTCTTTACAAAATCTTTTATTGATACAAAGACTTATTTATTGTTTAGTAAATAATGTATCTGTAAAGAGAATGTTACTCATTTAATTTTGAAAATAATTTGTTTCTCAATAAAAGTTTTTGTCAGAGAAAGCATCTCTAAATATGCAATTGAAGATTAAATCCGCTAGATGGTCGCTTCAATTTTGGAATTTTAGGGTTACCTATTGTAGTGGTTTCGTCTGGGATGGAGTTAATTTTCTTCATAGCAGCCTGTATGGTGCTGTGTTTTAGACTGGTGACCAAAACAGTGTTGCTAACTCAGGGATGTTTTAGCTATTGCTGAGCAGTGCTTGAACAGTGCCAAGGCTGCTGCTTTCTCACTCTGTTCCCCTAGTGAGTAGGCTGGGGGTGGGCAAAAGGCTGGAAGGAACACAGCCTGGACAACTGACCTGAATTGACCAGAGATTCTGTACCACACAGAGTCGTGCTCAGCAATAAAAGGGGGTTGAGGGGGAGTTCTTCCAAAATTGACATTGATCAGGGACTTGCTAGGCATTAGTCTCCTCATGGTGAGTAATTCATTTGACATCACTTGCTTTTCCCCCTTTTTTTTCTTTGATAGATTAAATTGTCTTTGTCTCAATCCATAGGTTTTCTCATTTTTGCCTTTCCAATTCTCTCCCCCATCACACCAGGAGATGTGGGGAGTAAGTGAGAAGCTGGTTCTTTTCTACCTACCAGAGTTATCCCACCGCACCTATGCAAACCATTCACTTCTAAAATAAATCTCTGGTTTTGTACTGTTTAGGAACTATGCCAACAAAATAACTTTTTTTTTTTTTTTTTTTTTTTCGTGCTAGACTGTCAGATGTTTAATGGAAGGGCAGGTCAATTATTAAATATACCTCCTGCTGAAGTTCTTCCCATCGAGTATTGAACTTCTCAAGTTTCTCATTGATCAACTCATCCAAGATTCCACCATCAGTTAAAGTCTGAGCCAATTCCCGAATCTGATTGCGATTATCTTCTGGATGTCTCATTAAACGTTCCAAAGACTGAAACAAGGTCAACAAAATAGTTTATTTATCTTTCTGAAAATAAGATTCTACAGAGTCATCACAATACACCTTAAAAATGTACGTAAGAAACTTCACATTTCACACACAATAAAAGTAGAGAGAAAATATAAAAGTATATATGTCCCACGTCTTGACAACAAATATTCTGTACTACTTATTACTGAAAACAAATAAAGATTTTTTGCAAATCAACAGATTGGGTGCTTGATTTTAAAAATGCGGACCATGCCCATGGAGTTTAGTGGGAGTATTTGTGTATTTAAAGATAAAAAATTTTCTTGAATATCTAAATGGATGAAGTTCAACAGAAAAACACATTATCAATTTTGCATTTTGATCCACTAAGAGTATTAATTTCATTTCTACAAATTTGAAAGGTTCCATGAATAAAAATTAAGTAGTAAAACAGAGTTGCATTGCTAGGATGACAGCTTGCTCTCTCTGAAATCTTCAACATAGTTTTTGGTGACAACAACATACATGTTCTTAAAAAACATGGCCTCACTTAAGCCAGTCAAAACAGTCTATGACATCAGGCATAACACAATTACTCTGTATCGCTTAGGTGGATTTTAATTCAAAAACTGATCTGTTGAATCAACTGGAACATAGGACTTTCCAGATATTCTGTATCTTGCTCATATGTAATGTTGATTTATAGTTTGATTTGAATATAATGTGATTTATGATTTATCAATAGATGTGATTTGATATTATTTAAGTCAACACTTACGTCTAGAGACTCAGAAATCTCTTCTGCGCCTCCCTGGATATTTTCAGTTGCCTTGAGTTTCAGTTCAATCTCACTCAACCATTTATTTTCTGCGTCCAAATATGACAATAATTCATGCCAACATGCCCATACCTCCTAATAGTGGGGGAAAAAAAAAGTTTTTTGAGATTGAAAATATCACAGCTAACTTTCATTTATTAAAATACTAAAAACATTACATGCTTCATCCCCAAAACAACATGGTTGGAATCTGATGGTTATGGTGCCATTTTTTTTCCCCCAGTATTTATATGTTCCAAACAAATATAATACTCAACCAAAACATTTTGATTAAACAGAGTAAAACCACAGAAGATAACATGCAAATGTGAACATGAACACTTCTGCAAAACACAACTGTGTCATGAATTATCCACTTTATATGCTTCCCTGTAAAATCCTCTTGAAATATATAAATATAAAAATTATCAAAATTTTTAAAGACTCATGTTGGAATTTTATGTTTTTACTACAAGACGTGGTCAGGCTGCTTATATATTCTGTATATTAATTACTTAAAGCACAGGTTCATAAGATGTCTAAAACTACAGCTTTCAAGAATTCTGACTGAAATCTCTTCAGATATTAATTCTAAAGCATATTTACTGCAATTTATAAAGCACTTAAGTGCTAGAGTACTAAACATAATATTGTAAAATGAAATTATGTCATGACATTTTCCTGTAATTAAATGATTGTGTAAACTTTTATTTTTACAGTGCCTGAAGATACTTAAATAAGCAGATAAAACTGGCATTTTATACACAAGCAAAACATTTAAACTCTTCATAAATCATCTTTTCATTGTTCCTTTTTTGTTAGCAGAGATTAAAATAACTTTATTGAGATGCATTAGGCTGTTTATAGAACATGTTTCCAAGACTGCAGTTTACTTAAATCTCACTTAACTTTGGTCATATCAGATGTGTCTGGTCTAGGAGGAGATTATAGAGGCATATTACCACACAACAACATCATCAATGATCAGGGAAAATAGAGATTAACAGTTTAGATTTCACATCTAATTTTCCACAGTGAAATTTAGAGGAGATAAATTTTACCCAGGTATATAATTGTCCTGTATGAAATTAGCTTTGCAAATTAGGTCATAACAAAAAATCATATCTAATTCACTGTGACCACTGTTTAATATGCAAATAGTCCTATGGCAAGAATCTGTAATGGAGTTGGCCAAAATGGCAGGTTCAATTCAAAATGTATGAAACATTCAGTTTACCAGCAGATCATATGCTGTTCTTATGCTGAGACAACACCACTTATCCACCTTCAGGGCCATTTAATCAAAATCCTTAGCCATGGAAGAAAGAAGCTTGGAGGACCTGGTAAAGACAATGTCATAGGCTTGCTACAAAAGCCAGATGCTTGACTTAATCTCAGGAGGGATAAAAACCCTGAGCAGCCATTGCTTCTCCCAGCTAAGAGCCGTGTCTGAGGCTTCTCTTTTACTATGACTCTCCAGTATATACAACTCTCAAAAAGATTTAGGTATATGGCTCATAAAGTGAGGATAGCCTTGGGCTACTCATGATCCCATATGATAATGCATCTTTGCTCTCTACCTTACTTTTGCAGTTAGAAGGGCTAAAAATACAATGACTGACAAGATATCCAACCTCCAAAGTTTTGCACTTTCCATTCAGTCTGCTGCAGAGTCTCTGGTAACTGGTAATTAGAACATCAAGCTCCTTTTTCAAAGCCTCATGAGCTGCAGGTGGAGCCTTTGCTATAAAATTATTCACAGAATCAGTAATAAGCTTCACTTTAACTTCTTTCTGCATGGCTTCCTCCTTTGCTCTCTGAACGGAAAAAAAAAAAAAAAAAGAAAAAAAAAAAAGGTTCTGTCAGAGAGAAAAAAGACCGCAACCAACCAAGAGCCATTTAATTCCCAGACTTCTGACATGATCTTGAATGCATTCAAAAAACTTATTTTTCATTTTGTTGCCAATACATGATACTCAATGCAATTTAACATCTCATAACTACTTAGTTTTCTGGAGATCTCAGAAGAGTAAAACATTTCAGTATATTATTTATTTTTTTCCAAGAAATGCTCCAAATACCTTTGCCATGGTACCTTATGAACCACAAATGAAATAACAATCTGTTGTGTTACAAATTCATGTATCCAGGTTTAAAGGTACAATCACAAGCAGCAAGCAGAAAAAAAAGAATACTCATGACTGATTTTTCCTCTTTTGCCACTGTCATCAACCTGCATTTAAAGGGAAATTGAGAAAATAATTTTTCTCCAGTGTATATTTCACACTTTTATCAGAGTGTAAATGTTGATTCATCCCCTCCTTTTACAGAGATAGAAAAATCAGTGCCATTATTCACCTCCAGTGAGCATTAGCCTAACATGAAGAGAGGACAATGTGAAAAGTGAGAATCCTCCTAAACAGCACTTTCTGTGTTAGACCCTAAGCAGAGAAGTTTAACAAAGGACAGACATAGTAAATATAAAGATCCAAGAGACACAGAGAACCACAAATGGATGGTGAATTAAAACCAAAAATTAACAAATCCTGTGTAACTGGATGATCTGGAACAATCAATCTGCCACCTTTTTCCTTGTTTTAGCATATGGAACCATTACAACTGATCAATCAAATTGCTAACCTTACTCCTCCAACTGTTGTTACTATCCCTCCCCTCTTCTGCCATCTCATTAATAAGATACAAGATTGTCATAGGTAGCATTGTTTCTTCTGAGTGCTTACAATGGGATGGTGTCTATTATTAAAGTCATACCACTACTGGAAACAGAGTGATGGTATACATAGAGTCAACAGTGTGTACTGGTCTTCACAGAAATTAAAAATGAGAACTCCCTGGACCAAAAACAAGGTTAAAATAAAACCTTGTTTCTGACAGCCTTCTTTCTCTTTGGGTCTGAGGAAGTCCATGAACCAGAATAACTGGGATCAGGCTACCACTGCCAGAGCAAGTTTACTAGGTCGCTGTTGTCTTTTTTTCCTTCTCTAGCTGTGGGAAAAAATGGGCTGCAGGATGAACACAGAATTCTGGTCTGGATTTTGCCTGTTGTGTGACAGCAGAGGTGGCTGAATGCCTTCAGGGAAAGGATCATCAGAAGCAAGTGAAAGGATGCACGACAAATGATCTGGTTATCTACATAGGTCAAGGCATCACAGTTTGAACATACCTGTACTTCAGCTGGAAGGAGAGAATATTCACTAGGAAATGCATAATGGGGTGTGTCTAAAACTATATATTTTACCTGTTTTATTATGCAGTGCAATGTATAAATTTGAATTTTGTTACTTAATTATTAAAAAATAACTGTATCTCTAGAGGAGATGTTTACTTTTGATATATTTGTCTCATTTACAATGAATTGAACTTGTTACATATATTTCCATATATTATGTATATTTTGACTGGCACCAAGTCATTTCTGTCAGTAAATAAAGAGATCTTCAGTTGCATGATCAGATACTCTCAAACACTGGTAAAACCCAGTGGATAATGAAGAGTTTGCAAACCAAGTGTTGTATAGATTGTTAAAGCCATATAATCTGGCTTTCTGAATAGCACAGGCCAAACAACTCACCTATGAAATAAAATCAAGTCCACATCCAGTGGCTGAGCAAGAATATATTTGAGGATGTATCGCAAATTACTGTTTTAGTCCAAAGGCCTTACTCTTCCCACATGAAAGAAACATTAAGACAAACTATGCTGTTTTTATACTACAATATTAAAAAAATAATAAATCATGCATACTTAGTACATATCAACATGCATCCTGAGGTCCTAAATCTTTTTTTTCTCTCTCTAATATAAAGAGAAGACATAATACTGATTGCACTCTATCAAGTAACTGCTGTTAACACATGATTCTTAAATAGAAGAATGTCGAAGCTCCATCAAAGTCATGTATCCAATAAAGCAAAGAGGAAAAAAAACAATGCAGTATTGTGAAAGATTAAATATTTTCCAACATATTACAAATAGAAATTACATCAGGCTGCCTACTACTTCAAATTTTAGGCTAACAAGTAGATTTCAAAAAGCACCTTCCTAAAAGAAAGAGTAGACTTTCCTTACAATGAAAACTTTAAAAAACCCCACCCTTTAAACACAGCTCAAGGAATTAGTTCAGCTTTTACCTTCAGTTCTTCAACAGCTTTCTGTAATTCATCAGGTGTTTTATACTCAAAATCTCTTTCCAGATATTCTTCCTCAGCTTGTGTTATCCATTCATGCATCTCTGACAAATCCTTTCTGAGACTCACAGTCTTATCCAAACCACCTTTTAATGCTTCCTTCTTAGCATAGGCCTTTAAGAAATAAAAATTACATGGTACTTGAAGCAAGTACAAACTTGACAATAGTTTAGCCTGAAAAGAACCAAATTAAATCCTATACTAATAATATTACTATAATTAGGCAGATTTTTAACAATTAGATAGATATTAATAATAATCAGGAAAGTATTACATGAGTGTATACATCCTTTTTTTAGCAAGTCATTGCTGTGCAGAATGAGTTTTCAGTGATCCTAGAACAAGACTCCACCATATACTGAGGTCATCAGAATACAAATCTGAAAAAAACATCACCCAGGGACTGTCTTCTAAAAGACGTAGAAAGAACAACCACAGGAGACCTTGAAAGTGCATCAAGGATGAAACCAGAGTCTCCTGAGCTATAAAGTCAGATGACCTTCAAACTAGTTTGAATGTAACTTCCTAGAGAATAAAGCTATATTCATGAATAATCTTTCTTCTGATGGAATCATTATTGAATCTCTCAGAAAGGCGTATATCCTAAGAATAGGTAAGTAAAAAAAGGAATCTCCTACTGGAAGAAACAACTTATCTTTAAGGGAAAAATACTTTTGTTAAATCTTCTGCCAATCACTATATAGGGGTCATATAACTTACATAGCTCATGTACAGAACTAGAGATAGATGATAGTTAAGGTCCCTTCCACTGTAAACCATTCTGGTATTCTATGAATTGTGCATCAACCTATCAAAATTGTCCATAACTGATTGAGCCATTGGCTGAGCCATCTTTCAATGGTATAAAGAAGTTTGCAACACAGTTAGTTGCACTAGTGCCATTTTTCAGAGTTGGGCTTGCAGAGCTGATCGCTCCAACATCCTGCACTGTAATGCTACTTCAGTAAATGTTATTTTCAGTAGCATCAAGAGGAACTGTGTTTTAGTAGTTGGTCTTAGTTTTTGACTTACTGCTTTTGTTACTCAACCCTGAGGACTGGCCATTAAACATAAATGTTGTACATAAATGTTGTTTTACAGAACAAAACAGAGCAACAATAAAAAGGATGTTCAACAAGTATAAAAGCAGAACCATATGTGGCCCTGCAAAGTTGCCTCTTCCTCAGTCACAGCACCAGAAGAGAGGGTCATCTCCCATCACCTGGAAAAGGTATCTGAATGCCAATTGCCAGCTCTCACAGTCATGTTAACTGCATGTATATCAACTCAAGCTGACTTTTCCAAATCCTTTAAAGAAATTCCCACAGACAATCTGATTTTTATATTATTCATGTGTTTTAATAGCTATTACTGAAGAAGTTGTGTTAGAAATGCCCACTGTTAAAGGCAATAATTCATGCTGTGTATTGACTGAAACTATTACAGGTAGATTTTCAGGGAAGTCAGAAGAAAAATTTAACAAGACTTCTAAAATCACGAGACTCTACTTGAAATATCTGTAAGAGAAGTGCAAAGATATCCAACTTATTAATATTACAAAAATAAGCAAATAAAACTCCACATTAGTCAAAGGGGAAAGACTACAGAACCAGATCAATAAAATGTCTTAGAGATTTCAAAGACTAACTTTTTTGATAACTATGTTTATCATAAAGATATATAGAGGGTATTTTTCACATATTAAGAATAATAATTTTAGAAAACACTAGACCACATTAAAAGGTAATTGTTTTATTGATATGAAAATAAACGTTTAAAAAGTAGACAACAGGATGAGCAAGTAGAAAAAGAAAAGTAAAAATAACACAACATGAAAGATGTTTCCTTTGATTCTCAATCCAAATGCCATCAATGAAATAATTTATGGCTTCCTTAATCTGTAGAATTATTTATTAAGAAAGTCTTTAATTAAAATAACTGCCTTTCCTCTTATGCCCCATTCTCTCAAATTCATGCAACCACTGAGACTGTAATTTACACACATTCACATACTCTTAATTCCAAGTTATAGAATTCTGAACTCTTCACTGCTTTAGTGTCTTATTTCATTGTTGTGGCCTGAGCTCAGAGGGCAACTGAACACTACGCAGCCACTCACTTCACCCTTCCCCCCAGCACTGAGAAGGAAAAAATAAGCAAAGATACCACTCGCTCCACCCTTCCTCTCAGTGCTGAGAAGGAGGGAAGCAAAAGACACAGAAAGCTAAGATAAGGACGGGAAGGGATGATGTCATCCTTTAAGGCACAGGCAAAAGCCAGACTCATTAGGGGAAGGAAAAAAAAGAACATAAATTTAATACAGACACCACCACTTAACAGACAGAGTAGCACTGTAAGAAGTATTACCACATCTTGTAAAGACCTCCTCACATCCCTTCTTTCTTCCTGGGCTCAGCTTTGCTCCCAATATCCCTACCTCTTCCCTCCCTTAGTGCTTCAGGGAGCAGGGAATGGGGGGCGTGGTCAGTCCTGATGCTTCTTCCACCTTGGTGAAGGCAGAACTTTCTGGCATCCCTGCCCTGTTCCAGCACAGTCTCCCTCTCACAGGAAACCGTCCTCCACAAACGAACTCTGACATGAGTCACTCCCACAGGCGTGTGTGGCACCCCCACCTGTTGCAATCCTCCCAGCACTGAACAACAACAGTGGGGGCTTCTTCCCATGGGGTCCTGGCCTTCTTCGGGCTCAGTCATCTGCTCTGGTGTGTGGCTCCCCACAGGCTGCAGGTGGGCATCTGCTCCATTGTAGACCCCGATGGGTGGCAGGGGGACGGCCCTGACCTCTCACCACAGGATACAGGGGACTCTCTGCTCCAGCGCACCTCCCCACCTTCTCATCCTTTCTTCCACTGACCTTGGTGTTCACACAGATGTTCTCCTTGCTACTCCTCCTCAAAACTCCCACCACTCCTCCCAGGTTCCCCTTCTTAAATACATTACTGCAGAGGTGCAGCTAATCGGCTTGGCCTTGGTGCAAAGGCGAGTCCAACCTGGAGCCGGGGGAGCTTCAAGAAGCCTCTCACATGGGACCATTGCTGTAGCCCCCCCACACTGCTACCCAAAAACCCCTACCACTCACTCAAACCAGAACACTCATCTAGAGTAATGAAATGCGAGTACAGTGATGCAAAAGAAAATGTAACACTAAACACAATACTTGATTTTCTGGAAAATGCCTATATGCCACATTCAGAAAGCTAGTTTAGCAGAAGCCATAAATTATATTGCCATCAAGATCTCAGATATTAGTATAGAACTTTGTTATAAAAATAGTAAGGTATTATAATATAAAGAAATATACTTTACATGTATTGCTACATACTAAATAAAATTCCTAAAATAGAAGTTTAATTAATGTGAACCAAATATGTTTAAATTCAGTTTCATATCTACTGAATATGCATAGAAGGACAAATTCTGTCAATGACAAACCTCATTATTAATTTAAAATGAACAGCGGGAGACTTGATACCTGTTGGCAAATGTGTTCCCATTGAATATTGAGATCCTTTAGTTCTGTCTCTATTCTGGAAGCAAATTCTGGCTCTGCTTCACTCTTCATTTTCTTCCCAACCTCATTAACACTGTTCAAACTGGGCTGGATTGTCTGGATATCATTTACTAAAGCCTAAAGGAATAGCAGAAGATTAGGCAAGCAGCATTCACACAAATTTTCAGATATGCTACCCCCTATCAAAATGTGTCTACATAAGATTCTGACATGTTTTTGGTCCAGATCTCCAGTCAAATGAGCACAATTAACAGACTTAACTATGAAAAAAGATAAAAAAGGAATACGTAGCTATAATGTGGTAAGCTATGGTATATCAGATACAGTTAATTTGCACAATATATGTATATACTATATTTATACACACATATAAAGTTGTATTACATGTATCTATTACAATGGCCTAGATAATTTTTTTCACATTTGAGAAAGAGCATGCCATCATAATGGTAGAAAACCATTTGTGAAGCCATCTTATTATCTATGCCAGTATTACCCTTGGGTTGTTAATTCACTTGCTAACTTCCTTAAAATGATCTAGATGGTGATATTCTCTGGTTATATCTAATTATTAGAATTTTATTTGTGGTTGAATATTATTTAAGCCCTGAGGTACCTCTGAATTTTATTTCCTAAGGTCTTCTTCAGTGCTGCAGATGTTACCTGTCTTCCTATACAATGGAAAAGGCTGGAAGTGTAAACACATAAAAGATGAAGATTTTGGTAGCTTTATTATATATTTGACAGTAATGGCTAATATATTTGTGAAAACTCTTCATAAATTCAAGTGACAGATTTTAAAGGACTTACATGTAATTTACTACTCTGTAGAGGTAAGAGTTCTCCTATGTAATTTATAATAATTTTTATTTAAACAAGGGGTAAGAGAGAAAGTCCAAGGAGCTTATAGTTCTGTAAGATCAATATGTATGTTTCGTAGTATTTACACATCCTGCCAGAACATTTACAGAACCTGTAAATTCCACTGAACATACAGACAGGGACTACAAGATTCACGGCACTTGCATCCTCTGTTGGGACAGGCAGAAGAATTAGTAAGCCCTGTGATGGAAGTACCAACACTTCATGATGCTTTAAAACTCTGCTGGGACAAAATTCTGGAACTTGTAAGTTTAGTGGAAAAAAATTGATATAACTCACAATACCTGCAAGTTCTTTTGGTACAGTCAGAAAAGCTTGTAAATCATGTGTGAATAATAGATACAGAAGATGATCTTCGGGCTCAGATTATACAGTTTATAACAAATAAGAATTCACTATTTGTAAACTGAAGAAAGTAAATAAACAGTTATCTTAGGAGGCTAATAACTTATTATTTGCTGCAAGTACCCTCTTCGATGTTTTGCTCCTGCTATAAATACATAATAATACAGCCACTGTGTGGATCCTCTCTCTATTCAAGTTTCCAATTTTTTACGAGAATTTTCCTTCAAACTCAGGAAATGCAGGACATTCAATTACATCGCAGAAGACAAGCCCCTTACAACATTATTTTATTTTTTGGAACAATAATAATTTGTGCAACTTCTGTATAACCCAAGCTCATAGAGGAGGATCCAGTAATTGCCAAGAAGGCAGGTAATACTCACTGTACACTGTTCAAGTTGCTTTTCCAGTGCTTCTGAATCACCAAGGGCAGGCCACTCTTCCTTCAGAAAAACATCCACTTCAGCCATCCACTTCTTCAGTGTTTTAGTGTCATTCTGTTTATTAAAAAGACGGTTTATTGCATCACACAGAACCTGACTGGCAATAGTGTAATTCATTCTGGCACTATGACTAAAACTCATTGCAATGTAATTTCAAGATTATTGAACTCTATGAAAAATACAAACACAGCAAACAAGCAAAACCAATTTTATCTGTGACTGTCACTGACTCTTTAGCTTGTACTCTGACCATTTCTGCCCAAGTTTAATGTGTCTACAAGCAGGCAACTTTCTGGCTCTCAAGTTTATGCCTTTTAGATATCATTTGTGTTTATATGTTACATGTATGTTCATTGGTTCCTTGTATGGCTTCAGATTACTCATACCTGGTAATTAATTCAGGTTCACCTATTAAATCCTCCTATGCTTCAATTTAAATTTCAGGCTTCTTTTGGAAGTTGCATGCTCTATTGCCTATTTCTCTACCTGAACACAACAGAGAAAAACTCCCTTACTACTCAGATTAAAAAAAAAAAAAAAAAAAAAAAAAATCATGCAGTGACTAAGTCATTTCAGAGTTACTCTCAGTTACTGCTTCTAGCACTAGAATATTTGTAATCAATAATATCCTTTCCATAGTCTTTAATTAACCCTTGCAATCAATAAAAAAAGCTGAACATCAAATGCTTGAAAACAGGGAACACTACCAGTCCCAGGCAACATTACATAGATAATCTAATACATTGAAAGGTGGAATGAGATTTTCAAAATATCACTTAAAATTAACTTAAAATGCCACCTTAAGTAAACAATTAGGTGCACATGCTAAAATAAAAATAATAAATGGCAAAAATTTGAAAGGCATTATAAAGCATTTTTTCATTAAAATTTCATCAACAGTGAAGTACATATTGTTATTATATGCTGAATATGAAGCTGAACTAAAACACATAAAGGACGTTTCATTACAATATAGGCTGTGCCCTAAAATGTGTGCAATAATGCCTTAGCAACTATTATGAAACAGATAAACACAGGGAACATTTTTCTAATGTGCTTGATATATTTAATAACAAGAGGCTACTGTGGAAAATTAATGGAATTAATAAAAATAATCATACAAAAATTTTCAGTATACTTCATAATAACAATTACCAAAACACTGTTGAAGTGTTTACTGTGCATTTCATTATCAGTCAGAAAAAATAGTTCAGCATCATAATCCATGATGAAACTTTAATACCTTTACAAGAGTACTTTAAGTATAGTTCATTAATGCTGCAAAATATAGAACGGATGGGATTTACTTGAAAAGAGAGCAGTCTCCAACTACCAATGAGGATCAAAAGGATGACTTGCATTTACAATCAGACTATAAATGCATTTTATTTATCAACACTGATTTAATCGTATCCCATGCTGGTGCATTCCATAAATTGCAACATCTAAAACAATTGTCTGGATGTGAATTCATTCAAGGAGTTGAAAAGAGAATGACTTTTATATTAACTGTGTACTAGAATGACTTCAGCAATAAATATAAAGGCTAAGATTTGCATGCAACGATAGCTCATATAGCTTTAAAAATATGTGTTCCACAGAGCATGTGGAACATGATGTTCAGGACTTTTTCCTTTTAAGAGCAGTGGAGGAACCTCTAAACCTCTATCCAAAAAATGCAGGCGGGTTGGGGGTGTGTGTGGGGAGACAGCAGTTTGAATTTCTTAAGCAAAGTGTATTGCTCTGTTTTGTGCAATTGCAAATATTTTATTATACTATTGATAAGACCACTTTCCAGTTTTCCTATTTATATTGGGTTTATGTGGCAAGGTCTTGGTAGCAGGGGTGGCCTTTGTGAGGAGAGGTCAGGTGCTGCCCTGTGCTGGACAGAGCCATTTCCAGCTGCCTCCTCCAATGGACCCACCAGAGGATACACCTGACCCCATGGGGTCAGCTAGGGATGCCTCTGTGATAGTACAGTCAAGAAAGGACAAAAATGCCAGACAGGCGAGGAGAAGAGAAAAAAAAGTGAGAAAAAGCCTTGCAGACACCAAGGTCAGTGAAGACGGAGGGGCAGAAGGTGCTCCAAGCTCTAGAGTTGAGATTCCCCTGCAGCCTGTAGGAAAGATCATTGTGAGTCAGGCTGTGCCCCTGCAGCCCATGGAGGTTCATGGTGGAGCAGATCTCCACCTGCAGCCCCTGGAGGACCTCACGCTGGAGCAGGTGGATGTGCTCCAAAGAAAGCTGCAGCCCATGCAAAGTCTCACGTGGCAGCAGATATTTCCTGAAGGATTGCAGCCTGTGGGAGAACCCATGCTGGAGCAGGGGAGAAGAGTGAGGAGGAAGGAGCAGCAGAGACGAGCTGTTATGGACTGAACGCAGTTCCCATTCCCTGTCCCCCCGTGCCCCTTGGCAAGAGAGGAGACAAGAGTAAAGCAATAGAGTGCAGACTAGGAAAACAGAGTGGGAGAGGAATTATTTTAGTTTTTGTCTCTGTTTCTCACTACCGAAATCTACTTAATTTTTCACAGAGTTGTGTTTGTTTTGCCCATGATAGTAAGTGATTCCTCTGTCTTTATTTCAATACAAAAGCTTTTCCATCCTGTTTTCTCCCCCATCCTGCTGAGGACAGGGAGTGAAAGAGCAGTTGCAGCACCTGGCTGCTAGACAAGATTATCCCACCATACTTTATTTCATGGCCAGCTTCAAACATCAGAGATGTAGCTACGGAGCCAAAATTACAATTTAGAGTAATGTGGCATTTCAGTAGCTAAATCATAAGTAGTTCTGATAAAATGTTTCCTTCTTTTATTGGTCCATTGTCCTTATCTAAAAACTGATGAAGAGTAGCAAAATAATGAGTGCTTTTTTTCTTTAAAGAAGTTTTTTTTTTTTTTTCTCTACAATAGCAGAAGTGTAAGAATATTTTGACAGAAAATTTATTCCTGACAATTCTATTGAATTAAGCTGAAAGCAACAATTACAGTTCACATGTTATTGTATTATAATTCACAACATGGAGCTAACCATGTATCATGTTCTACTACTAGCAAACCAAAGACAAGAACAGAAATACTTGATGTCGTAAATAGAAGAAATAGAGAGACAACACTGAGAAGAAACACATAGTGAGAGCACAGCTTTGAGTATGGCTGCAGGACTTCAACCTCCATATTTTTCTTTGCCATATCCCCCTTGAGTATGCAAGTGTTCGTTTGCATGGGGGCAAGGAGAGAAACATAAAAAAATAAAAATTCTTTCTCCATTTTTGTGTCTGGTTGACTTGAATTCCTCTGAAAGATGACCCTTGAAATTATATAGAAATAGAGCAGGAATATGTTAAAAATGGACTAATTTTAAATTTCACAACATCTAAGTCATAGATGTCCCCTGTAATGTTGATACATGTGATTTATAAATAAATATAAATAGGAGATCCTCACAATGAGAGAAAATGCTTGAGGTTCCAATGTTAGCATTCTAAATACCTTAAACTCACACAGTTGTGTAAGTCATATACACTTCTGCTTTCTGGCAACTACTGCCAAGATACTACCATATTACAAACGACTATGTAAGGGAATTCGTTAAAGTCTGTATGGTTACAGCTACTTCAGCTGCATGAAAAGGTATTTCACCTACATTCAAAAACTAAGCAGAGGAACAGTAGTAGCAATTTCACTGAAACTGAAGGTTTGCTTTTGAAAAAAATACAGGCGGAAAGGGCCACAAAATCAGAACTCAAACTAAAATCTCAAACCCATAAAATCAAGCAAACATTTTAATACATTTTATGTACTGTTTTGATATTCACTTCGCTGTTATTTTCTTGAGGTTTATGAATGCATTCTGTGCTAGTCCCACAGACACAAGCTACCACATAATAGCTTGGGCTGAAAAAGTTTGGTTAACCTGGAATCGCTGGAGTTTGGTCATAAGTTCTTCGAGTTTCTGGCAATGTTCCACCAGCTGTGCTGATAATTTCTTCCAGCGTCCAAGGATCACATCAATCTCTGATCGATATCTTTGGCTGATTTCTTCAGGGGCTCTCCTGGACATGTCTTCCACAGTTGTACTGAGATAGTTCAGGCCTTTTTGCTGCTCTTGCAAAGAACTCTGTAGAGCCTATGAATAAGAAGCAAATAGTATCCCAATTCATGTCTCAGACAGTTCTCTTTGTTTCACAGATGTAGGTGAGACTGGTGAAGAAAAGACTGACAACTAAAAATGTGCCACCTTTACTAAAACATCCAATGACATTCAATTTGGAATTGCCATTTTAACACAAACTGGAAAGTAGATTTTTAGTTGAACTGAGAATATAACCAGAGGTGTTTATACTTGTTAACAGAGGTGATCCACATACACTTCATTAATTTGAGATAGGAATTTACTATGGCTCTAATGATTACACTTTCAGAAGAATCTGACCATACAAGGAGAAAAGAATAAACTTAGATCTGCTTCTATGATTTAAAGTTTTTGATAATTTCTCAAAACTTTCACAATTCTTAGCCCAAATTTGCTGCATCTAACTTTTTCTATATTCTATTTTTTATTTCTGAATGTGCATTACTAGTTGTATGCAACAACACACTCATTAGCCATACAGTAGAGTAGGACAATAGCAAACATTGAAATGCAGGGAAGGTTTGTATCTACTGGTGAAAGTTGTTCCACATTTGTGTCTGCTTGTAAATCTGACAGGAAATCTGACAAAGCCTGCGCTGCATTTCACAAATCACAATTGTTTCCATGTCAGCACTGGAAAATGAATGAGCTAAATCTATACTTAACTACCAGAGCCATCATCAAAGGAATATTTTATGTATTACGGGGACAAACAGAGGCTTTTCCTTAACATGTTCAGTATCTGACAAAATTGGTTTCATTGGTGAAGAACACTTTCAATCCTTTAACTTTAGGAATTGATATAAGTATCCACCACCTCCTGAAGCCCTTGCCTAAAAACCATGTGTGCAATTCAATCAAGATCCATAGGTTTCAGCAGACTCATGACAACTAAGGATTCTGTTCCTCTAAACTTTTAATTTGACACATTCATTCTCACAGCCAGACCACTCACCTTGAGCTCCCTGAGTCTCTGCTCCATGATTTCATATTCAGCAACTGCAACCTGAGGCATGGAGAGTTTAGTTTCTGATTGCTGGATCCACACAAGTATAGTGTTCATTGTCTCTTTGTAGTGTGCAGGAGGCAAACTGTCAAAAACTGCATTCAATGTGGGGAAAAAAAAAAAAAAAAAAAAGGAAAGAAATAAATAATCTTGTGCTTCATTATTTGGTTTGCTGAGAGTATGTTTGATGAAAAACTGAGCCGTATGGAAGTCAATGGCTATTTTGCAACAGATTGCAACTGGTCTAGTATACCAGCATCAGATTTTTCCAAAAATTATGGAAGCAGAAAACTTTTGAAGACTAAATACGCTCATTCTAATGTTTATAATATCTCTGTCATTTTATCAGTTGTATGTCATTTGACTCTCTTCTATAGGTCATGCAACAATTTATATGGCCGAGACAACTAGCTTGCCTTGAGTGATTAGAGATCAACAGACAAACCATTGTACTTAACCCAAAATCTAATTTCAGAACTGCAGCAAGAAATGACGTTCCCTTTTATGAACCATGTTTGTGTGTTTAATGTTTCTGTTCCAGTAAAATGTTCTGTTTAAGACATCTGTTAAGCGCTTAGAAAATCAATCTTTCTTCTGCATTAAAGTTGAATTTTATCGAACTGTGCTTATTGTGCCAACATTACAGCTGCTGCAAATAGACAACATCTGGCACACACATGAGCAACTCATTAGCAGAGACACTCCCTCTGCCCTCAACAACAGTTGCTTCTATACTCATAGAGAAAAGGACAGACAAATAGCAAGGCTGGTTGGAAATGAAATATTTCCAACCTGTAGCACATAATAATGAGGTATATAAAAGTTCAAAATAATATTATACCTATTTGTATCTCCTGTACATCTATGGTGTTTCAAAAAGAACTGTACTGAGAAATGATATAGCTATCCAAAAAGCAATTTTGACAAGCACCTCAGTTAAAGTTTTTAAGTGCAAGCTTGCTTATATTCCCATAAAACAGCACTTGGCAGAATGCACTTCAGATTTTAACTTAATCTTTTAGTTGATCAACAGAATGCTACTTGGAAAAAATCTTACATTTTCAGTTAAGCATCATAACAACATACTAAAATCAGAGCAATTTAAGCTCTCTCTTGTGGAGTATGCACATTGTATGGCATATTTTCCTCATAAAAATCTTGGCGGATCTGATTTATCACACACATCTGGGGTTTTACAAAAGATAGGACTTGATACCAGGAAAGACAAGAATTTCTTCCCTTGTGATGTATTTTCTTTACATAGAAAGCAACTGTAATACATTATTGGAAACACAGAAAACAAACATTTTCCATCTCATCAAAGAGCATTTTAAATCTTTTTATTTCCTTAGTGAGATTAGTATTGTCTTTGACTCATTTAATCCAAACAATTCCTACTTTAGAATAGAACATATATTTAAACACATCACTCCAAATGAATGGAGACATAATTTCAACAGTTCAGATATGTTACCAGAGTATACAACTTAATCTGCGGTTTTATTTAGAAATATGGAGTTCATCGTGATGCAATATTTGATGTCTATAATTCATTTTCTTCTATATAGAATTTTAAATGAAAAACAAATCTTTTAAAATTAAAAAACAAATACAGACTACTGTATTACTTCAACCATATATATAAAAGAATAGCTAATTTTGGTAGTAGTGACCAGTACCTCAGAACAGGTAAAAACACGATTCACTGTTACAGGAAACTCAATCAAACTGCATGGAACTGTCATCCTGAAAGTTTGCAATAATAATAATTTTAAAACCATCCAAACACTGAAATGTTTTGTCCAATTTTTATGAATTATGTTCTCAACTCTTTGAAGGACTAAATAAGAGTTCAAGTGGGATCATGGGATGTTGATTTAATCAAGCTAGTGGCTTTCCAATTAGGTTATTAAATATTCCATTTAAAAAGCGCTTTCGAATTCAGTGAAACAATATTTTTTTCCATTTCACTTTTCCAGGTTACTACCAGTAAAATAGTACTTTTCAATGTCTTTTGACTAGCTGGAGTTTTGGGGTTGTGTTGGGTTGGTTGGTTTGTTTGTGTGTTTGAGGTGGTGGTGGTGTGTGTTGGTTGGTAGTGGGGTTTTTTTAAAGATAGAGAGTGGGTCAGCATTTTCATCCACAATATGGTTTTGGATGACACTTAAGATGAGCCTATATTGGTTTTGCAACTCATGATGACAATGGTGAGAATTCAAACTCCTACAATAGGATTCACATTATCTAATTTTAGCTGTCCAAATAAACTAATACATTTATGGTCTCTCTCTGAGCAGTATAAATCTCTAAATTCCTCATGCTTGTAACATAAACACACATCCAGACCCATTTATTTTTATCATAAAATTTGCTTTGTGATACTAATATTTGTGGATTAAAGTCCACGTGATAAGCACAGTACGTTAATATGGATTCTGCTATATTACAAGAAAAATTGAATTGGTAGTCAGAAAGATATAGCATGCCTACAAGTCAAGCTATAGCTAAACTAGGCCTACGACAGGACTATAACAAAGGGAAAACACAAGTATGTTCCTGTGAAATATCAAAATACAGTTCCCATCTCGTAATAGAAAAATGCTGCATTAATCTGTTGCACTTGCAGGGGATGCATTTTGGTGTGACCAGCATTGGAACCCTTGAGAACTGACAGGAAAACATATTTACACTTGCCTATTTATTTTAGAGAAAGTGCTTAAATTTTGAAATATAATGTGAAGATATTTAGTTAGGACATATTTTTAGTAAGTAGAAATATTTAAACATGTGAAAATAGCTTTCCAAATAAGTTGTTTTTCCTCACAGTTTCCTGTTCTGTGACTAAATTTTCCAGTCTTTTCCCAAATCAGAAATGAAATGAGACCACAATTATCTCAACAACTATCAAATCCCACTGGATATGCTGCAATGTGCATCTCCTACAGTCAGGACAAATCCCACTGTTCATTGCATCATTATGAAAGACGAAAAAGGCAATAAATATAATCTATGAGATCATTTTAGAACAGACTTGTTCCCGGAAATAGGTGAACTAGATTGAACTGCATGTATTTCCTGTAAAAATCTCCTCATCAGTAACTGAGGTTTAAAACCACGCTGATGCTCCCACAACTTTGTTTCGCTTATTTTGTAATACAAATACTTAAGGTTATTCCTCAAAGTCTTTATATTGATGACTTCATAAAAGCTGTGATTCCCTTCTCCCACATCTTTCACCAGAAACTCTCAAAGTGGAATCATAAGGAATCTTGTATAATATATAATCAATGTTCTGCAAGTGCTTTAAAACTTCCAAATCTCTTACTTATTAAGCTGTTAAAAGAAATATAAGGGAAGCCCTTCTCCTATTCTACAAGGTCGAATGTTACCATAAATATCTTTTAAAGATACGAAATTTTTCAGGTGGTTTTATTTCTCATCCTTATAAATTTTCATTTTTACCATGTAGAAAAACGATAAAGTAACCGACAGGGTAGAGGGCATTATCTTATATACATTCATTTCACAGATTGCTTTGATCTTTTTTTCTTTATGCACACAAAAAATAACTACCAGAGGAAATGGATGCAAAAGAAAAATGAAATTACTTGTGTGTTACTTATTAAAATAATATTTTCTCACACACATCTGAGCTGTGTTTTCAACTCAAAAGGCACATTCAAAGAAAATTAAGAAAACTTTATTCCTCAAACCCAAACAGCAATGAATATTATTGCTACTAAATCATAGTTCAGGTCTTAA